GGCCTTTAATAATTAGAATAGAGTTTGGGGGTATATTATACTGTCATTTAAAAAGGAGCCCCGAAAATGGTGTAGGTAATTATTAAGGCCGCTACGTTAAGCCCTAAGCCCCATTCGGAGATGTTGGGCTGGAGGGCGTGGTTGGATTCTGTGTGCGGATAGGGTGCAAACTCGGGGTCTTGGGGACTTCAATCTCTAATGCCAAACCTTAGAAACGGTTTAGGGTTTAGGGTGTAGGGGTTAGGGTTTAGGGTTTAGGGTTTAGCCTCTATTATAACTCCAAATTCAGCTGAACTTCGAACGATGCGCAGCCCCAAACAATACAAGGCTAAACACCAACCCCCGACCCTGAACCCTGCATACTCTCTACGACGAAGCAGGCAATAAGGGTGAAAGGTCAATACCCCGAATTCAATAACCCTTTGCCCCAAGCCCCTAAACCTTAAACCCTAAAGCCCTACAACCCTAAACCGCCAAAACCCCCAAAACCCTAAACCCGAAGCACTGAAGCCAACGCCTCAACGTGCTCCAACACTTGGCTGGCCACGTGCTTGGTCACCTCAGTGACCTGGGAGAGGCATACAGCAACGACTTTAGAGGGTTTAGGCTTTAGGGTCTAGGGTCTAGGGCTTAGGGTTTAGGGCTTAGGCTTTAGGGTCTAGGGTTTAGGCTTGAGGGTGTAGGGTTCAGCAGCAACCCAACAGCACCACATTTCAGAAAAGTCCCAAGGAGAAGCCTTAATAATTAGAATAGGGTTTTGAGGTATATTTTACTACAACTAGAATAAGACCCCCCCCCCCACAACAGTATCGGTAAATATTCGGCCCCTATATTACAGTGAAGGAACCGATTGCTTGGGGCCTATATCAAAGAAGGAACCCCCTCTTCCGGAACTCCCATGAAAACACCAAGTGTACACACCCTGAGAACTTCGAATCACCTGCTAACAACTGCAACCCGAGGCCGTGCCAGACATTACGCTGGAGGAGTAGGCAACCCTGAACCCAAAACCCCCAACATCGAAATCTTAAACCTTGAACCCTAAGAGCTCTGAACTCCGAACTCCTAAACAGTATAAACCCTAAAGGCAATAAGCCCAAGCCCTAGCAAAACACAAACCCTACAGCCCTACAGCTTGTAAACCTTAAGACCGAACCCTGAAAGCTAAACACATACCTTAAACCCTGAAGAGAAAAAATAACAACCCCTTACAATAGAAACCGTACCCTTCCCCCCCTGTATCCCCCATGTATAAACCTTAAGACCCAGTCACAAACCCTAAATCCCTAAACCCTAAACGCCGTAAGACCCAGTCACAAGGCCAACCTTCGACTCCTCCAGCTTGGCATTTATTCGCTCGAAAGCCGCATTCTCCAGGTTCCACACCTGGTGCTCTTGACATCTTCCGGGGTTTCAGCTGAGGATAGGGTTTAGGGTTTAGCGTAGGACAGGTTTTGGGGGTTTAGGGCCTTAACCCTCACCCCTACCCCCTAAACCCCTTTAGTGACTCCGAGCCGTCATGTTGCTCTTTATGTAGTTCATCCACAAGTGACTCGCTTCTGGATTGTCTCATGACTGCTTGCATAACCCCTAAACCCCGAAACCCCAGGCCAAAACTCCAAAAGCCCTGAGCCCTAAACCCCAAACCTGAACCCTAAACCTTAAAACCCCCCTGAAGCGCCTCGTGCATCACCGTCTGGCGCCATCGCTCCCGCTCTGTCTTCAGCTCATCCTCCGAGATCAAACCTGCTCTTTATAATTAGAATAGGGTTTGTGGGGCCCAGTATACAAGAAGCATAATAAGGAATCCCCAAAATAATAGCTGCTGTCTTGCTAAGGCTCTCCGTCTAAAGGACTTAACTTAGGGTCTTAGGGCTTTAGGGTTTAAGGTTTGGGGGTTTGGGGTTTTGGGGTTGGGGCTTCGGGTTTAGGGATTTAGGGATTTAGGGTTTTGGGTTTGGGCCCGGGCTACCATAAAACCTTGAACCCGAAACCTATAGGCTTGTAAGGGGCTGGGGTCTTATTGGCCGCGTAGCGTGCACCCGGATGCTGCACGGGCGCGCGCATGTGCTGAACTGCTGGGGTCGTTGCAGGAACTCGCTGCGGCTGCGCCATGGCTATGGGGTGAAAATAGGGGCTCTGTAAAAGCAGGCGAGTCTACGCCCAAGGAGCCCAGCAAACACCCCGAAACCCGAAAAAAACACAACTACCAGAAACGACTCACAAGCCTTAGTTGCCAAGAGGAAGCTTGCAGATTCTATCCCGTGGTAGAGCCGGAAAGCGCCAGACACCCCTCAGAGCCAGAAGCGAAACGAAAGCCTACGACCCGCAGAGGGCAGAATGCTACGAGGTTCGGTTTTGTCGTGGCTTTTTGAGCCATTGTGGCACCGGCACGCAGGGTCGTTCGAAGAGCTAGCCACTGCATGCTACACCAAAAGCAGCTCAGAGATCCACCATCACAGTCTAGGAACATATCTCCAGTGGAATAAGCAGGGGATTTTGAGGAAAAAATCTCCTTCATGTCACGGGAGAGGTTGGAGTTTTACCTATAGTCTCCATTGTAGTTCCTTTTTTGGTTTAACCAATTATATATTAAGGATTCTATAAGGTATCCCCAAAAAGGAACTACAATGGAGACTACAGATATCAAGTCCTTTTGTATCATATTACGTTTTATAGTATGGTTAGTATAGTTGGGTGTGGGGTTGCGGGTTTTCGGTGATTGTATTACGATGAATACCGTTCAGCGTGCAGGGCAAGTCGTGGATCCCGCCATCGTGCCGAAACTACCCAACTACGGTTTGATAGCATTGACAAGCCGTGAAGGTAGTCGCAGTTGCAAGTAGAAACAGGAATGCAACACACAGATCTGTATCCGTGTTTCAGAAAGGGAACTAGCCATTGAAAACTCCAAGCCCCCAGTGCGTTATGTCCATCTATTGATATTTCTGTCACAGTACAACAACCATGTCGTAAACAGCCACATTAACAGAAACCTAAACCCATAATTGCTGGTTTCCTGGTCCTACTATGCCACCAAGCCCCAAGACCATGTACGAGAGAAAGAACATACAAGCGCAACCCAAATCTTTAAAAAAAACCCTAAACCCTAAACCACAACCCTAAACCCTAAACCCTAAACCCTAAACCCTAAACCCTAAACCCTAAACCCGAAACCCTAAACCCCCAACCCTAAACCCCGAGCCCTTCATCCGGTCAGGGCTACAGAGGTTGGGTTTAGGATTTTGTTTTAGGGGTTTAGGGGTTTAGGGGTTTGGGGGTTTAGGGTCTAGGCTTTGTGCCAGAGAAACTAAATGTAAGTTAGAGACCCGGCACAAATCATGTTACGCATGCTGCAGGCCCCTGCAATGCCAGATCCTAAACACCCCCCTACCCCAAGCCGACTGCTGGCTCTGAAACCCATATGGTTAAAGTAGTCCTTGTGCTCTAATCACCCTAAAGCTCATAGTCACCTGCAAAGGGGCCTTATTGTATATCAAGCCCTAAACCCGAACCCCTGTACCCTCAATCCTAATGAAACCCGCTTAGGAAACTTTCACCGTGGAACCACAAAGCAGTCCCCACTAACTTCCAATTGCACTCAGGATAAATTAAGAAACTAGTCGCCCTGTTAAGCCAAAGTTTAAAGCTAAATATCAATAGATTTGTCATTCAAATGGGTAGTTCTAAATTAGGGTCCCTTTTGGGGGTCCTTTTCATAAGGGTGCCGTATTATAATGGGGACCCAAAAAAGGACCCTAATTTTGACAACCACCCAAATAACACAGACCTGCCCGAGAGACTCACCAGGCTCTGCGCGTTAGCTCACTGTCTCCGGTGCGGTCGCGACCTGGCTGAATACAGGTGTTGGGGTTTAGGGTTTAGGGTTTAGGGGTCCGGGGTTTAGGGTTTAGGGTTTAGGGGTTCGGGGTTTAGGGTTTAGGGGTTCGGTTCTCGGGGTTTAGGGTTTAGGGTGAAGGGGTTATAGGGGTTTCGGCCTGTGGGGTTTTCACTGTTCGGGCTATTATAGGGGTTGCTGGAAGTGTGATTCTGAGCGTTGCTTGCATTTAAGGGCTGCTATGCTGGGCTTAGAATTCGGGTTTCGGGCTTTGTGAGGCTTAAGCTAAAACCCTAAACCCCAAACCCATCTGTTAATGTAGGGGGCTTAATAATTAGAATAGGGTTTCGGGGCCTATTATACTATAGTTATAGTTATAATAAGGAACCCCCCCAAAATAATACAGGTAAGTATTATCACAAAGCCCCTACATTATTTTTCAGGGCTTGGGCTTTTAAGGCCATAAAGGCTCAGGCCCTTAGAAAACTTCCGTGTGGGCTTGCAGGCTCGGGGGCAGGAAGGGACGAAGGCAGGTTACAGGGCTTCACACGAAGGGCTACTGTGAGCCACGCTTTATGGTTTAGGGTTTAGGGTGTTCTATACTGAACTAGACTAGACGTACCGTACCATAAATTAAATCTACCATTCTGTACCGTACGAAAAGATCCGATACAAGACTATACTACGAAAAAAAAGCCCCTTACACCCACGCCTACAACAACATCCAACATCGTGAATGACGCCTTGTTGTTGCTAGTGCTGTACATCTAGCCGATAATTAAACACATCTAACAGAAGGGTAACTCTACTTTCGTAAGGGTTAACTACACCCTAAACCCTCAACCCTGGCCCCTAAACCATAAATCCCAAACTCTAGACCCTACAATACGGAAAACATGAAAAAACCTTACGGGTTGCTCTAATGGGGTCTACCGGAATTCCGGCAGCTTAGTGCTGAGTTTTGGAGAACCCCGCAACCGCGACGCTTCCCCTAGGGTTTATGGCGTTGGAGCTTTAGAGGTTTAGGGCTTAGGGGTTTCTGGCTTTGGGGCTTCAGGGTTTAGGATCGTTGGTTTAGGGGGATTGGGTTTAAGGTTTTTTTTACGTGCAAGGCATTTAGGTCTCCGTCTTTTCTTGCTGCAGCACACGAGCTCCGACGCTCTCAGAAGCTTGGTTTGGGATAGCCAAATGCCTCGTAGTCCGCTTTGTACTTCCTGAGGGCTCCCCGTGCTCAGGGTTTAGGGTTTTAGGGTTTAGGGTTTAAAGTTTAGGATTCAGTGTTTAGGGTTTAGGATTTAGCGAGGCTTGAAATCTTGAGACTTGGGTGAAGGGCTTGTGGTGCGTCGGATTTGGGGTAAGGCTTCAGCTTCTGTCTATGCTTCTCTCTATGTAGATGTAAGGCTTGCATGTAGCCATGATTCCTGCATGTGAGCTGGAACTGAGTACTAATCACCTGAACCCACCAGCCAGCACAACAATATATTGAAGCTACTGCGGCTTCTATGAAGAATCCGTGCGCCAGCTGGGAGCCTTGATAATGTGTGTTCATGTGAGATCTAAGCAAAAGCCCTGCAGCATGCAAAAGCCTTTGAAGCCCTCGGTGCAAAGGCAACATCATTCTAAAGCCTAAACCCACCGTACCGGAATAGAGAGACCCGGATGCAAACCACAAAGCCCCTCCTCCATCGTAAGCTGTCAACAGAACAAACCCTAAACTTTAATATAGGGTCCGTGAACACCCTAACAATTAGAAAAGGGTTTTGGGCTCCTTTATGGTAGAGTTATGATAGGGAACCCTAAGATATATATTGGCAATTACTTAGGCTTCTACATTACCTTAAATTCTAAACCCTAGACCCTGGACCCTAAGCTCTAAACCCTAGGCCCTAAACCCTAGGCCCTAAACCCTAAACCCTAAACCCTAAACCCTAAGGAGACCCCGGCGGGCCCTTGTCTTCCAAGTCACTCATAGACGGCGGCTTTCGTGGTCGGGGTCAGCTCATCCACTGTCATGTTGCCTAGGCTCGGGTTTAGGGTTTAGGGTTTAGGGTTCAGGGTTCAGGGTTTTGGGTTGCCTAGGATGCCCAGTAACCCAGGATGAAAAAGGGCTCCCTTTCTGGTATTGGGTAGCTTTATAAGGAACCTAAGGCTTTCAAAAAGGGGAAAAGGGCTCACCGGGAGACCTAGTTGCAGTGGTCCGTCCATGTTGACATCAAGTCGTCTGCAGGCAGCTGCAGCTCGTGGCCAAACTCTTTCATGAGATCGTCAAACCTCACAAAGCTCCGTGCAGCACTGCTTACAATGGCTGCCGACTGACAAATCTGAGTTCTATCTACACTGCCACGATTGGCAGTGCTCGTGATATAGGGGCCTTACCAATGAGATTGGGCTTTAGGGTTTTGCGGTCTCTTATCGCAGAATGGCTTCAGGAACCCTAAGGAAGCACCTTGGTAATTCTTCAGGCTTCTACATGCGTCTTCGGCTGGTGAGCAGCAGTCAAAGCAGGCCTTGGTATGAGTTTCTCTGCATGGTACCTATAGTCTCCATTGTAGTTCCCTTTTTTGGTTTAACCAGTTTTACACGTCGGATCCTATAGGGTAACTTAACCCCCAAAAAGGAACCACAATGGAGACTATAGGTAGGGTGAGGTTTGGGCACACAGCCCTGCGGGATGACTTCGAGCTCGAGCCCTCAGCCGCATTTTGACTCGAAGTTGCTCATACATGATGCTGAGCAAAGGGAAACGACCAGCCTATAAGAACCTGTTAAGGCCCTAAACCTTACGAGTATGGACCCTATAAGGCCCTGTTCCTCACAAACTGCAGGCAAGACTCTCCTGGTCGAGGTTCTCAGTGTGAAGGATTCGTTGGCAGTACTGGTGGGTGGCGCTGGACTTGTTGAACACGCCGTAGACCGACCTCGGGGATCTAAGCCGCACAGCGCAAGGTACGGGCGTACGTATGGTACACGCATAGACAGTTTATGATAGTATCTCCTAGTACTGATCTATAGTGTATTACTGTACTGTTATTATAGTACTGTTATAGTATTCTTCTATAATATAGCACGATTATTGTACAGTATAGTATTACTCCAGTACTGTTATAGCATCTTCTAGTATTATTATAGTACATTGTAGAATACAGAAAAGCTCTCCTTCAGCTGTAGCCGTTAAATAACCCTGCAGAGGTGACTGTAAAGCCTAAGCCCTATGAGCCTAATGTAGGGGCCTCAATAGTTAGCATAGGGTTTTGGGGGGATATTCTACTATATTTATAATAAGGAACCGCCCAACATGGTACATAGGTAATTACTAATTACTAAGGCCGCTATGAAGCTCAGCGCGCCGGTTGCGTCTCACCCTAAACCCTAAACCCTAAGACCATAAGACCCTAAGACCCTAAGACCCCAAGACCCTAAACCTGAAAACCCTAAGACCCTAAGACCCTAAATCCTAAGACCCTAAGACCCTAAACGCTAAACCCTAAACATCCGGGTTTGCTTTTTTTTTTGGGGGGGGGGGTGGAGGGGGGTTGAAAGGTTCCAGGAGTCGGGACCTCGAGCTGTCCGACCAGCTCTCCCTCAAGAGCAACAACCCCATGCCACAAGTTTTCCAGGGTCCTAGAGTTTGGGTTTAGGGTTTTTGGGCTTCGGATTTTGGGTTTGGAAACTTGGGGTTTAGGGTTTAGGGTTTATGGGGTTTAGGGTTTATGGGATTTGAGGTTTAGGGTTTTGGGTTTTGGGAAGTTGGACGTTAAGGTTTGGGAAGCAAAAAAAAACCTGCACGACTCACCAGGTGGTTCAGGCAAAGAGCAGTCCAAACACCAAAACCGCCAGGACCCGAGTCCACTTAGGGTTTATAGTTTCGGGGTTTGAGAGCTTAGGGTGTAGGGTTTAGGTGGTGGGGTGTAGGGTTTAGGGTTTTACAGGGTTTGAGATGTCGCGCTTGGGCTTAGGGCTGGGCTATTGAACGGCTCTTGTGAAGGTTGAACCCTCGTATCCCCAGCGTAACCTTACCCACCACGAAAATCGAATAGAAATTGCAGAGATTATGGACTCAGGGGAACACCCTAGCCTGGAGGCCTAGAATACATCAAGCAGTGCAGGGCACCAACAGTTCTGCTGGTGTTGGTTGCTTGAGAACCCACTGCGAGACATACAAGTAGATGGTCTGAAACGCTACGGCTATTGCTTTTGAAAACACCCAAGCCGGAACGAGAGGCTGAATTCACTGAACTCACCCAGCCGATGCCAAACCCCCAAAGCCGTAGAGTGCATACATCTTCTTAAAGCACAATAGGAGGCACCCCTAATCCGAATACCCTACATAACCCTTACATACCCTTTATATAGTCTCATCCCCGAGGGTCCCTTTAAGGGTCGCCTCTTTCGTCCCTTGATCTTCGGCCCCAGCCGGCGCCCCGCCTAAACCCTAAACCCCTAGACCCTAAACCCTTAAGCCCCTAAACCCCTAAACCCCTTAAGCCCCTTAAGCCCCTAAACCCCAAACCCTAAACCCTAGACCCTAAACAACCCCTAAACCCTAAACCCTAAACCCCTAAACCCCCAAACACTAAACCC